GTTCTGTCTCACTAGTAACTCATTAGCACTATCTTCAAGTCTTCTATTACTTCTAATCTGGGAATATTCAACTACAAGCTAAGTACATTTTTAAACACTTAAAATGATTTGTTTTTTCTAATCATATTGTTTGTGACAGCTATATATATATATATATATATTTTATATAAATTGTGATATTAATTTGAATTATTCTGAAAATGTTTATATGGTTTATCAAAATATCATCAGAGGTATTTCAAATTGGTGTGGTACCAGGTGTTATCTATCCTGACTTTTGTATTTAAAGCAATTATTTATTTTATATGTCTAAAACATGGAAAATTCAAAGAATAGTTCTCCTTTTTTTTTGTATTTCTCTTACGGTGGCCATTTTAGATTTCAAAATGACTGCCATTTACAACTTATGGTATTAAATATCTTGGGTACTCATACACTTAAAAACATGACTCTAGTGTTAATACCACTATTTTCAGGGTCAAGGATTTTAAATTATAATTCTGGCATGCCATCCATTTTTGGATTCCGTTATGGCAGCAATCAAAATATATTCTATCAATTATATGGACTTTCGTGGATCAAGAAATAAGTTCTCTTTGGCATATAATCTCTTATTTCACCAGAGAGTTTGAAAGAAATGATATATAAATTAAAATACAAAACTAGCACTTTAAATATGGTATTAAATGAATTTCTGCATCATCAATATCATTGTCATCCACATTTGAAAGGTCACAGACATCCATGTTTTTCGATTCCATGTTACTGTAATCACAACATGAATATGCAGGTATACAACATAACATGTTTTGTAGGTAGACAGTGTTTTATCTTGAAACAACTTTTTTTTTTTACATAAATATTTTATAAGTTTTGATATCTTATCTGGGGCTGGCTTTTTCAGACATTTTATAGTTACTAATGTGTCATCATCATGTTTCTCCCATCCATGACCTGGAGGAGATGGTAAATCCTGCATGATCTCTGCATGAAACAGATATAATTTTCTCTATGTTTGAGGAATTGGATTGGACTTTGTAGAAGTAAGTTTTCCTCCCTTATTTCCCCATTACAGAAAAGTTCCCACCTAAGTTTTGCAATGTATGCAATTTTTCCTTTGAAGAATAGACAATGACGTAAACCTTTCCAAGATATCAACAACTTTCAGATAAACATTTCCTTGATTTCCCAGATGTCCTATGTACTTTCAATATTTTCTCCCCATCATCTAGTGACAACAATAGTTTAATCAGTGTGTTTTTGCTAATCTACAAATTTTTTATCCTAATCAGCACCTGATCCAGCATGCAAACATAGAAGAACTTTGGACTATGTCAAATCTAATGTTGATAACATTCTTCATTGTTAATAAACCTCAAAGATTTCCTTATGCCAATATGCATAGTTAACTGAAGTCTTTAAATCTTCAGATATGTTGATTAAAAGTATATACAACTGAATGTACATTGATAGTACAACCAGACAGTGTAATGCTATAACTCTATGAGATTATCTGTTTCTTCAAGATAATGTTTTAACAATGAAAAATCTAGAAGGCTTGGTTTGTTTGGTGTGGTTTGAGTACTGGCTACACAATGTTTCCATTATTTTGTCTTTAAATAGTATGGTCGAAATTCAAACTTCCTTAAAAGTTCTTAGCTTCATTAAATAATAGAAACCAATCTATCACCAAACACTGCATGTATCTTTATACTTTTATCTTTCTTAATGCTCTGGAATTCAACCATGGCATCTATGATTGACCAAATTTGGATAGCTCTGGACTGCTAGTTGCTTCAGCTTGAGCCATTATCTCAGACTTATCAATAGGAATGTAAGACAACCCATCTTTTGTGAACAGTGATTGTAATACGTCAATGTTTTTTTAAAGGAATACCGACAGAAAGTGGAGTGCTTCTATGGATTCTAACTCTAGACTGTTAATGTTGTGGAGGGTAATCTATTTGTCTATCTGTTCTATTGACAGACATGATATGCTGTACTCCAGTGTTTGGCCTATTCTCAGTAAGTATTATGTGATTACCCATAAGTGTCCACTTATAGAAGATGTATAGCCTCATAGGAATTTTAAAATCAGCAAATTGCATTTCTTAATATCAAAAGTGTCTAAAGCAGTAGCTGATTATCAACCTCATCATCATAAACATATTCATCCAATACTGCACTTAATGTTCTTGTTGATGAAACATCTGCATGAGGTTCTTCTTCCCTATTATAACTCCTTTGATGTGTTTTTGTATCTCTAAAATATATTTCTCCTATTCTTTTCCAGTAAAATGTTTTTGTACTTGTGATCCAGATCATTCATTCTAAGAATATCCCCTTGGTTTAAAGAACATCTGATTAAGTTGAATATTTTAATATCAGCAGTTATTTGACCAACTTATTTGAAAATTATTTTGATTAGGAGTACTGTTTGATTCCCTTTCTTTTACAACACAGTGTCTATGATATTGAGAATTATATGCTTGGATGTCATAGGATTCCATAAAACAAAGTGCAATCAACCAAACTTTCTAATTTTTTGGACTTGGTTAAAATGTCAATCACATTTTGACCAGTTGAGCTCTTTTGTCACATTACAGAGCTCAGATATATCATCATATTAACAGAAAATGCTTTTGTTTTTATCATACAGGGTTGTTTTCTATGCAATCTTTAATGCTTGTGAGATATCTTAATCCTTAAGGAGAACTAAAGCTAGTTGAGTGCCTTTCCCTTTTAGAGAGCAAATACTAAAGCTAGTTGAGTGCCTTTCAGAACTTTTACAATCAGTTATCAGTTGTTTGCTCAAATCTCTAAAATGAGTCTGAGTACTGTTCAATGATCTTTCTTAACTACTTTGTACTTTCAGCATTTTCATCTTTCTGAGTAAACTCATTATCACAGAGGAAGCATGAACCAGGATTACTTTCAATACCTGTCCACTGAAACAATAATTATAATGAAGCATTTAGCCAAATTATTCATTTTATTGGAATATCCAATGGACATCATATCATGGCAATGATGAACCTGTGAATTAAACAGGAACCATGAAGCATCGACAACCATCAAACCGATTTCCAAATGCAAACTTGTGCTGGTAATATGGATCATTAAACTACCACCAAATTTTTGTTTCTTGCCATCTTGAAAGTTATATCAAGAAATAAGATAATAACTAGTAGCCTTTTTGAAATTCAAGATGGTCACTGCACAAGTCATAAAAAAAAGGGGGGGAAAAATACTTATTTTGAATTCTTCATGTTTTGAAATTATGAATCATAAAATTACTTTTAACACTAAAATTGAGCCAGGTTATATTTTGCTGTATGTGGTACCATACTAAAAATCATCTTTAACTTTTTAAGCAACTACTAGAACTTGGCAATAGGGATTCACATTTCATGTAGGACATTGATATTTATGAACAGATTTATGGTGTTGTTATGGGTTCTAAATCTAGGCTCTAGCCTAGCTGATATATATTTTTTCATGTTACTCTGAGAAACAATGAATCTAAACCTTTACAACAGATATATTCATTAAATATTTATTTTTTTACAATCATAATCAGGCTGATGATTTTCTCAACTTTCATAAATAATAACATGCCAACATAAATGATACTATGGAAATTGAAAACTATTACAAGCTTAATTTTTTGAATATTTTCATTCAATATGAGACCAATTTCAGTGTTAGGTGTTTTCATAAAAGACCTGCACTAGATTGTATGCTAGATTTAAGTTATTCCTGAATTTTTCAAGTGTAATCTAATGTAAATGTTAACATTCAGAACCTTTCATCTTGCCAATGACTCATTTTTTTAATGAACTTTCCAATATCATATAACTACTCAAAGAAAAATGATTAGTGTTTTAACTTCCTCAAGTTAATATTCAAAAAACACTTCATAATCTTTTGACTAAGGAACATCTTATCACTTTACCCTTGTTTGAAAGACACACTAGCTTGGGTGATGAATACCTTAGTGATGAATCTGGTTGTAAAAAATAAGCTTGTTCAACTTTTTCAAATCAACCATAGATTAAAGTCAGATGTGTTTTCTAAAGTTAATTCAAATTTTTGTTTTGCTTGAAAATAAAATTTCTTAACTGCGGAGATCACTAATTGGTTATAAATATGTCTTTTTTTTGTGTGTCAAATGCTATGTTGGCTCCACAACTAGGTGTCTCTGACAAAGAATTAGTTAATATTCAACATTTCCATAAAAAGTGAATGTGATACTCCTGTCAGAAGAAAACATTATGACATTCTTGTTTTCACTTTCACTAAATTGGGCTTTTTTGTATGCCTTGAAAATTGTATTTTAGTTGACTCAAGTTGTAGGGAGAGATTCATTAACCGTCTTTCATCTAAGTGAAGTAATAGTATTTCTTATTATTTCTAAGATTTTTTATATGTTATCAAGGCCCAGTGCTAATCTCCAAACTTTCCAGGCTTTTTCTTTTTCAGAAATTACTGTAGTCAAAATAATTGCTTGATCACCTTTACTTTGGTATTTTAAGCATTCATTAAGGTATTTTCCAGAAATTTCCAAAATTTCCATCTTTTTCTTTTTTTTAGAAATTACTAGTCAGAATAATTTCTTGATAGCCTTTACTTAGGTATTTTAAGCATTTATTGTTAATTCTAACTTGTATTTCAATAGTGATTTTAAAAAACAACATTTTCTCTGAGTTTTCTTATGTTTGCTGTTCAAACATTTAATATCTATTTACATTATATATCAACATGCTTGTTATACATTTTGTACATTGCTCAAAAAAGTGTTGAAATTAATATTGCATGCAAAGTATATGTGTGAGATACAACTTAATTATGTGTTATACATTATAAACAAGTTGTAAATTATTTGAAAGTTCCAAAATTGGCATTTTTTGTATGCCAGCAATTAGCCCTAGTTATGAGATAAATACAATTAAAATGCTCAATTTTTGTATAGTATTATTGAATGCTTTAACTATTGGCAGGATATTGATAATCACAAGAAGTTTAACACTCGCTACAAAAGTAAAGGATATTCTTCCTCAGAATATGGTGTGTCTCGCAAAGTACTTGGCTCAAGGTTTGTATGTATATTTTATCACAAATTATTTAAGATAGAATTAAGTTCTCACAAAGTTGAAAATATCAAAGCTAATAGCAATGAGGTTGAACCTGTTTGGGTTTCAGTTTGTGGTTGTAAGTGGAGAAGGCTTTTAGTTGGAATTTGATACTTACCATCAGGTTAAACTGATAAAATTAATGAGAAACTATAGTGAGATAAAGATTTAGCTGTTAATGAGGTTATAAATATGAGAGATTTTAATTTCAGGCATAATAATCGGGAACCTATTAAAACAATGCTGTTTTAGATTTGTTGTTACCATCTAATATAAAATTGGTTGATAAGGTGGAGATTGGGGAGCATCTGGGTGCAAGTGATCATTGCTCAGTTAGGTTTGCTGCATATGGAAATTAAGGAGTAATGAGATTTTGATTCCAAATTTCAAAAAAGCTAATTGTGAAAGGATGAGACAAGAATTATCTGTTGTGAATTGGGAATGTGTAGGAATTTCTTTCTTTTAAATTTTCTGCATTTATTAGTGTCTCCAATTAATTCAGTTACAAGATATTCATGTTCCTAAGGTTGCAGCAAATACAAACACACATCAGCCCAAAAAGGGTGTAATAGGTGAAATTAAAGAAAAGCATTATAAATTTAAGAAGTTTAAATTTGCTGCAATGATGAGAGATTAAAAGATTACAGAAGATCAAGAAAATTGCTCAAATGAAAACTAAGGAAATCAAAAACTGTATAAAAGCATGTTAGCTGAAAAATTAATAGTAAGGGTTTCTTTGAATACATTAAGGGTAAGCAAAATGTTAGGGTGTGAGTAGGCCTTTGAAGGATGTTACAGGAAAGCTAATATCTGATGATTATGAGATGACTGGGTTATTAAATTATACTTTTTTCTTCTATTTTTACTAATGAAAATTTCAGCAATATTCTTCATCCTGGACAGTTGCTAAATGGAAATAAGAGTAAACAAGATGTTTGCATTAATTCTGATCTGGTTAAGAAATAATCTACAAAAATACTGAATACAAGTCTAAAGAGGTTATAATGTCAATGTATAACTAGGTCTTTGATTAGGCTGCATTTGGAGTACTGTGTTCAGTCTTGGGCTTCTTATCTTAGAACAGACATTGAATTTTTGAAAAGGGTCCAGACAAGGGGAGTTAGGATGATACTTGGGATGGAAAGATTGTTATATAAAGATAGGTTATGATCTCTGAAATTGTTTTCTCTATTCGATTCTACCGAACTATCATCACTTCTCATTTGGCAGTGCTATCGTCAAGACATTTTTTGTTTGTGCTCTCTTCCTGTGTTTCTTTTTCTTTTAATTTAATACAAAGTAAAGATATTTTTTTTTCCTACTTCACTTTACAAGTTTTAAGTGATAACTTACCTTTATTGTTCTTCGCTTTTTTTTGGTTTTGACCAAAGCTTATGTTTCCACTTCGAAAATGTTATCATTTACTTCCAGCACAATTATCTAGGCTTTAGGTGGATGTACTCGAATGAGGATTTCTCAGCTTGAATACATTGAGAGGTTGATCGTTATATGAGTTGACCATCATCAGGCCTCAAGTTTGGTGGCCCGCACATTTTGTTCTGCTGACTTTGGACAGATAAGCTGTTATACTGTCATATCTTTTTTGAATATTTTGATATTAATATTATTTGTAGTTATTTGGTTTCAATAACATGCATTTAGTTAGATTTGTACCTACTTCTTGTAAGATTAGGGTTTTTTAATTAACGTTTAGTGATATCCTTTTGTACACCAATGTTAGTTTAGGCTTAACATGTGTCTTTGTAATTTTAGGTTTACCTGTCATTGATATTACTGGTAAATCATAAATTAGGTTAAATATATTGTTTCCTCAACAAATACCATCAACTAAATTTTATTGTCAATATACACTTACTTAATCTTACTATATAATGACTTTCATTTTTGTAATTAATTATATTTTATATTTCTTACAATTAATTTCGTTTTTTAGGACCCCTGGGCCTGGAGTTTGTCCAAACCATCTCCCACTATTGCTTGCCTTCCTCCTAAAACTGCTAAATTAATTTGGGAAGATGTCTATTTTGACAATTTTCTTCCACCTGATTTTGTATTGGCCTTCCCAGGCCTCTACTGTGGAGTCTGCTAGACCTACCTCAGCCTTTTTTATACACATTTCACAGTTGTTGTTTTTCTTTGTCCCTCCTTTTCCAGATATTTTGGTTCATGCTGAGCCTTTTTGTCTCTCTTTTTAGTGATGATGTTGGCATACCTTGGCCTCCACAGACTTTGGTTCATTTTGTCTTAGCTTACCATCAGATAGATTGTTTTTGTTTTCGTGCTTCTCTGCACTTCAAATCTCTGTTGCCTGTATGGGGATAACATCTGTTAATCCTATCCCTTTCTCCCTAGCCATGTTTTCCAAACTATCGCCTCTCCTATTGGTATTGGCCACTATACACCTCCTTTCTTGGGGATTTTCATGGGATACCTTCCTCCTCCTTAACTCCATGTTGAGGTGATTGCCACATTCAGCTGTTTCTTTACAAATGTGGCATGTTTACTTTTGGGATCTTCTGGGTGGGTACACTATCTTGTACCAAATTAATTTCCTTTCCACATCCATTTAGGACTTGTGGATGGCTCTTTTCTACCACTGGTCTGTTTTCTTGGGGGGGTGTTACTCCTGTGACTTTAGCATCACTTGGGGTATCTGTATTGCTACATTTGATGTTTTCTTTTTTGGTTGCATGTTTGTCTCTTTGGCCATTGCATTCTTTATTCATGTTCCAATGTCCGGCACCTTCCTGTCATTTACCTGTCCTACATATAAGAGTTTCTCCATTACTCGTATATTCTCAATACAGATTAGAGTTCTGTGATTGATCTGTCCCACCTTAATCACTTCTTGGTTCTTTCCCTTTTTTTCCTATTTTGTTTATCACACTATGGTGGGCCTTTTCTCCAGGACTGAGGATACCCAATGTCAACGTTTTGTATTCTTATGCCCACATTCCTATTTTTCATCCCTTATGGTGCTGTCTTAAAATTGTTCACTATGGGGTTTCAGATCTGTATGTCTTTGTTTCCAGTTCCTCATCCACTTGCCTTGGCTTTCGATGTGTTCAGACAGGATTGGGATCTGTTTGTATCTTTATTTTCTCATCTCATTCATCATCTTCCCAGGGTGATTTAATTCATCATTGCCAATCTGTGTCAGGTCTTCCTGATTGCTCCTTCCTGGCTGACACAGATTTGGTTTTTGTCAGCTGCTTCAGCTCGATCTGTCCTTTTTTGTTCTGGATCAATTTTTCCTACCCTCCACATTGGTGACTCGTATGGGCAGGTTCTTCATTTTTGTTTCCTTCTATCTCCCACCTTTAATCCCAGGGAGATCCACTTGGTCTTATAGGTCCTGTACCTGCTCTGGGTTGCTTCATTGCCTTCAAGGCTTCTTTCTGTTGTTTCCTTTTCCTGCTGTTTCATTCCCTGGCACCACTCCTCTGTTTGTGACTTTTTTCTTCCTCCCTTACCTTTTGGATTTGGCTTTTGATTTGATTGGCCTTTTCCTTCCTTGTCTTCCTTTTTCTTGTAATCAATTCCTGGTGTCTTCACTCTGATTAGGCACCTTCCCTCTTACCTACATCTCACCCTTGTCGTACATTGTATGTACTTCTTCTGTCGAGTACTGGGACTACACCTCATACATTTATCTCCCATTATCTGCTTTGGTTAGCTTCTTCCACCTGTTTCCATTCTTCACTCTTCAGTGAAAGTGTGACTGGGTAAGATACCTTTTTTTATATATACTTCTTATTTATCAGGGGCATGTCCCTTTTTTCTTTATGGATCCTGCTCTGTGGCTAGTGGTGCCTGTCCAGTTATACGTATACTAATCAAATCCACAGTGTAAGGCCATGATGACTTAACAATTATAATTTCCATGGCCACTAAGCTCACACTGTTGAGACAGGTAGTTCCACATGACCGCTCATAGGTTTTCCTTGAGATATATTTGCTTCATTAATATGTCCATTCTGGACTGTGCTCACCCCTGGACTTCATGGATAAAGCAGAAGGGGATAGCTGCCCATCCCTACCATGCCTTTCATTAAATAAATCAGGTATGGTCTGCTTTTCAAAATAGGGTTTTTGGGGTCACCCGTTGCACTGTCTCTGGTGTTGACGTTCCTCCGGACTTTCCACCACATTTTCTTCCCCCTTCTTCTTCCAGTGGAGTATAGGAGTCCTTACTTTCTAGTTCCAAGCTGCCGGGGTGGTGGACCATGGAGACATCTGCCTGCATATGATAATGATATATGATTCAAATGATGATAAAACCATTCAGTTGAGAGTAGTGCAGTGGTGTTCTGCTGTTGTAGATTATGATATGTCCTCCAACCTGATGTTCCATCGCTATACAGGTTTATCCAAGAGGATGTTGTAGCTTTGGAGTGAGCAGTCAAAATTGCAGTTCACCCATTTGATTTGGATCCCTCATCCTACCCCCACATGGATGTTGGTTCCCAGTGGCTGGGTTTTGGATTCATAGCTGAACCAATCAACATAAGCCCTCACACACATGTATTATAGGTGTCTCTGTTTCCTCACTCAATTATGCTTTTGTTCCCTCCACCCGTGTTGTGGGTCACGGTGGTGGAACTTGCAGATTGACGTGGTTGTTTCTCTTATGCTATCCTCTGATGATTTTCTTATACCAAGGATGTTATTGCACTGGGGGCAGTTCCTGTTGGATTGGTTTTAAGTGAGATAGTTTACATTACAGAGACATCTTTACTACACTGTTTGTCCATACATTGGGTTCCTGGATCATTCAAACAACTTATGGCATTGTTATCATGTGTCCCGTTCATAGATCGGGTGGTATGAGATTCCCTCCGGTCTGCTGAACTTGAGGAGAAGACGGTATGAACTTCTATCCTACCTCCACCTGATGGCTGGGTTTTTGATAGTAGTTGATTTGCCACTTGTATGATCCTCA